GCCAACACCTTTTTCATGAGACCATTGGGACTTCCACCTGAATTATGGATGAACTTCAATCTCCTTATCTCCCAATATTTCCTCTTCCTGTACAAAGGTTGTTTCTAAGATCCATCAGATCATCCCATTCAGGCTCCCTTATCACCTATTCTAATTATGATATGCAAAACTTCACAGTAGTAGGGCATAATGGCACATGCCTATAATCCCAGCACTTGGGATACCAAAGCAGGAGGATTGCAAGTTCAAAGCTGGCCTCAGCAATTTATGGAGGACTAAGCAACTTAGCAAGACCATCTCTAAATAAAACAAAAAAGGAGCTGAGGATGCAGTTCGGTGGTTAAGCACCCTTAGGGGTTCAATAATCCCTGGTACAAAAAAACCTCACAACTTTGCAACATATTGCCATTGTTTGATTCTAAATTTATCACCTATAAAATCCTAGCCCCTCCTTACTTTCTAGCTTCCCTATGCATAGCTCAATGGTACTGACTTGCTTCTAGGTTCTTCACCGTACTATCAAATTAGCCCATGTCTTGGGTACATATCATTCACCATTCTTGCAATCTTCTTTGTGTACCTTTACCAGCTGGAAAATTCCAACCAGTTGTGATGACACATGCCTATAATCCCAGCCGCTTAGAATGCTGAGACAGGAGAATCACAAATTCAAGGCCAGGCTCAGAAACTTAGCAGGATCCTATCACAAAATTTTAAGACTTGAGTTCAGTTTCCCTCTGGAGGTGGCCTGAGTTCTCCCTTGAATATGTATTGCTTGTTTTACCCCAAAGGCATCTTCTTTGAGCTTGCTCCCAATGAATATCTATTTACTTTCCTAAATGAACCTCTGTCTAGGGGTGAGAGGGGAATGTAGCTCAGTGGTAGAACACTTGCCTTACGTATGTGAGTCACTGGTTTCGATCTCCAGTACCACACATACACACATATAAATGTCTACCATGTGCCAAACACGTCCTAGTTACTGGGTAAACAACAGTGAATGGGATATATCTGATCTTGGTCCTCAAGGAACTTTCAATCTAATTGTAAAGGAAAAGACAGATAGCAACTACTACCACATATAGGGATCTAATCCAGGGCCTTGAACATGGTAGGCAAGTACTCTACCACTAAATCTTACTAAATGGGAGGCTGGCTTCAAACTTGTAATCATCCTGCCTCAGTTTACTATGCAGCTGGGATTACAGGGCAGCACCATCACATCTGGCTGTAACTTGATTTGTGTGTGTGTGTATGTGTGGTGCTAGGGATTGAACCCAGGGCCTTATGCATGCAAAGCAAGCACTCTACCAACTGAGCTGTATCCCCAGCCCAAACTTTATTTTTAATAAATAGCTACATCTAACAGCTGACTCAAGTTTCCCATGGGCCAGGCCCCATTTTTAGGCACTTCACTTGTTTAATCTCATTTAATCCTTACACACAAATGCTACAAGGCAGGTAATATGGCCCTTCTTTTCAAAGGAGGAAGGGAGGCTCAAAGTGTCTAAGTTAAAGTGGACCAAATGGGCGCACATGGTAGCCAACAGGCTACAGTTCAAGGCCAGCCTGGGCAACTTAATGAGATCCTGTCTCAAAATAAAATGGACTGAGATGTAGCTCAGTTGTAGAACCTCTGTAAGGGTCTGGCAGAGCGTCGGAGGGAGAGACCACACAAGAGACTTACTCCATGCAATTGGCAAAAGGGGATTTATTGGGGATCCATTCCAGTGAGCTGGGGCTCCATGCTCACTCAAGAAGGGAGAGCAGCTCAGAGCCCCGAGCTGAGGTCAAGCAGAGCTTAAGTACACTTTCTGGAGAGGGCCATGGGCTTTGCATACATCAGAACAAATCATCATGAGGCGCAGGAAAATTGAACAACAACTCTGAGACGTGATTGGCA